GAAAAAAAGCTGRTAAAAGAAAAAAAATGCAGCTCTCTTAAAAATACTTGTTGTTTTATGAAGAACATCTAGAAATCCCCTTTGAAAAAGATGGCGGTGGGTAAAGCAAACCATCAGGGGGAGGGGTGGGCTTCATGATAGACAGGTCCTCTTAAATCATGGTCATTATTTCATTAAGTTGGAGCGACGGTTTGATCACTGACCTGAGCATTGTCATCACAGCTGTTCACAGCAAACACACCTGAGCCCAGTGCTTAACACCCCAGAGATGAGCTGAGGGTCAAATGAAAAGTCAACAACTCCACATTGCACGTGGTRACATTAATACACTCCTCCATTAGCTGCACTTTAATCCAAGGATAGTGTTTTGCATTGATTTTAATTACAGATCCGCCAAAAATATTAATACAAAGGAGAGTGTGCAACAACAAACTGTTAGACATTTATGTTTTTTTTTCTATTAACTTTAAGCATCCACATTTATGGCAACTGGGCTGACTCCACTTAGATTCAACAAACATTCAGTGTTATTAGTATGAAATCACAGGATCTAGAACAAAATTCACCCATCGTCGCATTATTTTCTCTTAAAAACTTGTGCATTTTCACAAAGCAATGCTCACCTATGGCACCAACTGGTTTTGTTCTGGTTTATAAGATTAGTATTAATAGTAGAAAAGCAACATGAGTGGTCATAAATAGTGCTAGCAAAAGTAAAAACAACAACAAAACTCTCTGCAGACTTTATAACTGTTGACATTTAATGCGTGACATATGCCACTGTGTTGAGTTGTAGCTTTTGTTGGTGTGACAATATGGTTTGGCATGAGCCAGSGCTGCAGAGTATGTGGAGTTCGCCAGCTTTCTCTTTTTTTTGTTACAGTTCTTCCATGATCTGTGAAAATTGTTGAACTGCAGTCTCCTGTAAGCATCTTGTGTCATCCACCATCATCTGTGTCTTTTTCCTCTTCCTAGTGCCGTCTGATGCTATCTCCAGCAGATTTCAGTCAAAGTGTCCCACTCAGTCATACTCAGTCATACGCACCATAAGTACACCACAATACTGTAGCAATGCAGACAGAGGATTGGTGTAGCCTATCATGCAATTGTGTCCAAATTGTTCCTTATTTGCAAAGTTTACCACCTAGTAATATCTACATTATGGGAGTCCCAATACCAGTTTTTTTTTTTCTACCCGAGTACAAGTGCTTCAGTTTGAGTACTCACTGATATGAATACTGATACCGAGTAGTAACTGAGTTAAAACTTAAACATTACACAATGGCTTAAAAAAGCATTTATTTATATCAATGTGGTTTTCCTTCCTTATAGGCCTACAGCCCTCTGACTGTATTGAATTAAATATACTGCAWGCATACTGTTGCAAATTTTAAAAATAAATAAAAAYGACAAATAATATTTTMTTTTAGCTTGTATAACTTTCTCAAACATGGRACAGACAAACCTTTCACCTAAAATGTAAATTGTAACACATTTAATTCRGTACCAGATCCAGTATTGATATTGGTTCCAGGTATCGGGGCATTTTGAACAAGAACGAGTAGTAAGAGTACGTGTAAAATCAGTATCAGGACACCACTAATCTGGATGCCTTTTGATTTCTATTCTAATTTCACACATTTTCAGAGTCCATCCACTGATTGATTTCTTTCAATCTGTCCTAATGTATAATATTAATGTAACATTTTGTTTATTTACGTAATTTACTTTGAAACCTTGATTTTGATTCCTTCTTAAGAGTGCTAAAAAATAAAAAAACACAGACTTGTTTGGCATCGTACCATTGGAGGAAAGCAGTATGCCCAACAATGTCAACAGACACAAGCAATTTGAAGCTCAGAAGCTGAAAGAGAAAGACTTGGACTGCCTAATGCTGAACAAATATTTAACATCTCAGAGAATGTGTAAGAATGAAAAAAAAAACTGACTGATGTCTGCTCAGTGAATTCTTTTCAACTGTCAGTTGGACAAATGCTGACAAAAATCCAAAGTAAATAAAGCCTGCCTTCCACGATATAAGAACGTTGTGGGAAGTTTGCCAGTTGCTGCTGTTTTACATTAACTCATTTAGACAGAAGACAAATTAAGCAGCAGGACATGCAGACCAATTTAAATGACAAACTGACACTGAGTGTTCTCCAGAAATTTAAATGCCATTTTTTTTTACAAACTTTTAAGGTCTGACATTCTGACCTGCTATTTAGATAATAGCTTTGTTTGAGTCACATACTGAAAAGTCACAGAATGAAGGCACATCTGTTTGAAACCAGT